AAAAAAAAAAAAAAAGAAAAAAAAAAGAGGAGTTAATCCAACGATTACAATTCTACCACGTGGCCGTCTCATTATCATGAAAAGGATAAACAAGACAATTCAATTCCTTAGAAAAATCAAAGACAATTCCAGTATGCCTGCAACTCAGATTGGAGGACTAAACAGGAGAAACAGCAAACATGTCCGTAGCATCATCTCAACAAAGTTTCCTAACCAACGCTCTGACATTAACCCACAAACCCAGAACAAGGACCTTCAATTCTGTTGCCTTCATCCCCTGTAGATGCCAACAGGATAAACCCCAGGATTCTTCCAGGTAGTTAGCTTAGTTCTCTTCAGTTTTGATTCTGTGTTTTCCTCTGTCTAACTTGGTTCTCTCTTGTTATGGGATTGCATGTTGAGTAAAGATTGTTACTTGTTGTGGGTCTTTGATTTTACAGGAGAAATGAGAACCAGTTGGCAAAGTTAGCAATAGTGACACTGGCAGCTGGGGTGCTGACTCTGGGCTCAGTTGGTGATGCATACGCCGCCAAGACTGGTGGTCGAGTAGGTGGCCAAGCGTTCCGGTCATCGGCTCCTCGATCATCCCCAAGAATCAACAACAATTCCAGGTAACTTTATTGAGCTTTGAATCATGTTGTTTTCTGAATCTGTTTAGGCTACTGGTTTTGGCACCCAGTTGGAATTTCCTTTGGGTTTTAGTGATTTGTTAGGAAACAACATACAAAACCAAAGAAAAAGCAATTGAGATTGATACCTTTTTAGAAGATAGAATTATATGTTCAAATTTTTTGTGAAATGAGAACAAGAGATGAATGTGACAAAACTATTCTTAAAACATTAATGAGTGTGTGTGAATGCCAAACCAAGGTCAAATCAGGGTAATTGATGAACAGGACAATTATGAGCTCATATGCATTTATCTTTCATTTCTTGAAGGTTAAGCATGCTTGCATAATTGTTCAGCGCCTTCAGGCAGCAAAGGGAATTAGAACACAAAGTTGCACCTGCACATGCCTTAGTTTCAATGTAATGGTTCCTACCTCATATTAACCATCTTTATGCAAAAAGAAAAGTAGACTGGAAATTTGCTTAGTTTAAATATAATTTCCCGTGTAATTTAGGTTTGAGCAGTTTGTGGTTGTCAGTAGAACAGTGTTTTGAAAACTTTTTAACTGAAGGCAGTTGTTGGAGTGAAATGAGGTTAAAAATGAGATTGTCCCAGCTCAATGGTAAGTTGAAGCTGCAATGATAATGTTTGAGAATGAATTAGCTCTCTAGGTATTATTTTGATCCATTTATAACAAAAGAGCTAGTGAGTTCTACTATTAAATTAAAATATTTATTTGATTTATTTTAGTAACAAAATAAACCCTATTTTTGCTGACAATTAGTTACTTTTGGGCAGGACCAATATTTATATTAATCCACCTGTTGCACCTCCTTTAGTTGGAGGTTATGGATATGGTTTTGGAGTGCCATTCTACGGTGGAGGCTGGGGTTGGTCTCCATTTTCCTTCTTTGTACCTGGTCCCAGCGTTGCAATTGGCATTGGAGGCGGATTTGAAGTTTTAGTCTTCTTTATGTTTCTTGGTGCTGCTACAGCTGTTGTAAGGAGATTCCTTGGATCAAGAGATGAAGATGAGTATTAGGAAATAGATTAAAACATTTTAAGGCGTTGTGTAGAGCTATAAATAACAGTGTGTTGTTACTGTAGCTACATGCCATTTCAGTTTGCTGCTCGTGTCTTAACTGTGAAGAATTTGGCCTACCATGTATGCATATGAATTTTTATAATGATGCAATGAAGCGATACTTTATAAGTTTGAAAAGAGAGATTGGAACAGATATCACGTTTCTTGTTCTGCAATATAATCATTGCCAAGGAAGAGTGTTTTCTGATTAATACTGTACATTTCACAGATACAGCAACTTGAATAAACTAGGCCCCAAGGCCAGTCGTGTTTATGTTATTGACACATGAAACCAGACAACAATCAAACAAGAAGAACTTATTGTATTGCAGAATTAATTTGAAATTTCTATTCAATGATCCTTGAACTCATGTTACTGCTCCAAAGAGCATTACAAGAATCATCATCAATGTAAATATCAGAAAGAGAATCAAAACCTGCATTTCAAGATTTTCATTTCCACTGTAGTTAAAAGCAGCACACAAATTTGTCCTTCAGTATCAATTGGAAACATGACCTGAGAAACTGAGCTGAATGTGTAACTACAAGTGCAAAATGTTGTGAAATACATGTTGAGCTTTAGTATGACCACCAACGATACCCTTCAGACACCAGAATCTAATGCCAACTCTTTTTAACATGCCTTGCCTACTCAATTTCTTTCCTATATCCTCAAGGCTTAAAAGTATGTAGGAAGGATGAACTGAATCCATTCAGGAAAACACTGTTCCTGAGCGAACACTTGAATGTTTGATCAGTCTCTTGCACTGAGAGCTATGAACTCTGATTCTCTCCTCAAGAGCAATGAGTTCCCCATTGTTTCCCTTTCTATCAATCAATTAGTTGGACAGCAGCAATGGCAGGTATTTTTTCCCTCAACTTTTGGGTCAAAGCAACACGGACAGTCATAACTCCAGCTGCAGGGCCACTAAGCCGAACTTTAACAACATATTCTTTGATCTCCATAAGCTCAAGTTCTCCACCTCCTGTGCCCACAAGGTAAGGTCTAATCTCAGCAAGAACCTAGAGCATAATTGGCTTCAAGTCATTTTGAATGAATTAACTTCTTTCTTAGCATAAAAACATCATGTATAAGAACTAGGATGATTCAGAAAAGTAATAAAATTGAACAAGCCATTCAATATCATGACATAATACTTGGTAGCATTTCAGCTTTGCCTGTCTAACCTTTTCAACATTCTCTTCATTTAGCTCAAGTCCTGTCTCTGTGTCAAGGATCTGCTCCACCGCCATAATTTCTGGAATTTTATCTCTAAGTCGAGTTTCAATTCCCGTCTTTAGGGTCATTGTTGAGCTAGGACATGAGCCACATGCACCTTGCAACTTCAACACAACAACAAGGCCATCTATCTCGTGCAAGGCCACATTCCCTCCATCAGCCATCAAGCTAGGCCGCACCTCATCCAAAACCTTCTCTACATTCTCTTCAGTTAATGGAAGGACACAACTTGGAGAAACCACAAGCCCTTCAACATTGGAAAACACACAGAAAGTTCACAACCTATTTTACTATCTTACAAACCATGATAAGAAAAGGCATAACAATTAACTTGAAAGTGCAACAATTCATTACAGCTACCTGCCCTATTTCTTGGAGAGCTAGCTCGGATTGAGTTAAACCCAACGAATAATCTCCTATGAAACTGACCCCTGAGAAAAGGGTTGTTTTTTGAAGAGAAACCGGATGAATCTGAACTGGGGTTCTAGGGAAAAAAAAAAAAAAAAGAAACAGAAATGACAACAAATCCAATCAGTTTACCTCATTGGTCACAACAGATTGTAATAAGAATCTCACAAATACTGATAAAAACACAAACAAAAACGTAGAATGTAACTCTAAAAGGAATGAAATTTCTAAGCACCTTCGAGAAACCTAAATGCGAAGAGGATGAAGCAGCTTCTTTAGATGAAGACAGATATGGGTTCAAAATTGCAGTGGTTTTTGTTGCTTTGAGCCCTTGTGTTTGAGTGGAGAGCGCACCCATTAGTTAGGGTCTACCCAGTCCCAGCAATGTTGTTCTCCAGTAGTGTCGTTATTGAATGGCTAGTGACGATGATAAAATGAAACAACAACCTATATTTGCGGAAAACCCAGTTGGCGTATTGGGTTGTCTTTACCAATCCAATGCCAACTCCTTCGAAACATAC